ATTTCAAACCAGCAAAGAATAAATATCTTCAAATTAACATTTATTAACAATAGATCTGCTGCTTTCTTTAGGGAACGTCATTTGGCGCGTTCTTCTGAGCCGTCATTACTTTATGACAAGATAAAACCTTCAGAATATCTTAGACAGGTCGATCCGTTAAATTTAAATTCAGCGAGACTTGCTTCGAATATTATCAGCTTATTACCTTCAAAAAGAATAAAAGTACACGGTCGTAATTATTTATTGAACGCGAATAAGCCGTTATTAACATATTTTTCTACTTGTGGTTCAAAGAAAAAGGATAAAAAGATGGATGAACAACTAGCTTCAGAAATGGCAGCAGCGAGAGTTAATGATACCATAATTCGTACAGCTGATCAAGGCTCTTCACTGAGTTTTAGTCCGGTTACGCCGGTTCCTCAAGTTAAAGGAGCGGATTTAGAGAATAATAAACTCGATTCATTTCGTAGCTTTGTAGCTTCAATAGTTGCCAAATTTTCTGGGAAATCGGCCGATGATATTATAGGGATATTAGAAGTCCCCAAAAAACCGGAATTTGGTGATATTGCTATCGCCATCCCTAGATTGCGTATAAAGGGCAATCCAGCACAAATAGCACAAAAATGGGTTGACGAGGTATATATGTTTAATTTAATTTAATTTAATTTATTATTTAATGTTTTGATTAAATATTTATTTATTTATTTAGTTTGTACCTAATGAATATATCATTTCAAGTTCTGCAGAAGGGCCTTACTTAAATTTTAAGATCAACAAATTACTCCTTGCTAATGTGCTTCTTGATGATATATATAAACGAAAAGAAAAGTACGGAAATAATCAATCAGGAATTGGCAAAACAGCTCTTGTAGAGTTTAGCAGTCCCAATATCGCAAAGCCATTTCATGCTGGTCATTTGCGCAGTACGATCATTGGCAACTTTGTCAAAAATGTACATGACGCAAATGGTTGGAAAACAATCGGTATGAATTATCTTGGAGATTGGGGTAAACAATATGGTAAGTTTATTTAACGATGATTTCTTTTACTACTTTATCGTAACTTTACCCCTTAATTTACTTTTTCGATCTCAGGCCTTTTAGCTGTTGGGTTTGAAAA